CTTCTTATTCCACCCCCAGATCTCTGCAAGGAGTAATAAAAGTTAAAAGTATGTTGAATTATTTATGTATTTTTTTAATGTATTGTTTTTTTATTTCACATTTTAATTTTTTGTTTTCAATGTCAAAACATGCATGCAAAACGTAATGCATTACATCAAAATATTACTCATTCATTCTTTTATTATTATTATACAAAGAATGAAATCTATACACACAATACAAAGAAAGTTTTAACAATTTTAAAACAGTAGGTGTTCATGTTTTTGTGCCCTCAAAAATAATGCAGTGGCAGAGGAGACAACTCTAGAAAGAAATTAGCGTGGTAAAGGTTAAAACAGATGCCACTTAAAATACTGAACTCCAAAATGAACCATCCACTGGTTCACCAAAGAAAAACACCTGAGATCAAGATAAAACCACCTTTTCACTATGTGGTTGTCCATGGCAAAATTAGAGCTGTTTTCATGCAGGAATCATTTGCCATTCATTGACCAAACAGTTTTACTGTTGGTTAAAATTTATAAAATCTTTTACTTACAATTTTTTTTAGACTTCTCAAGTCCACTGTTATCATTTTTTCTAGTATCGATGAGTTCCAAAATTCTTGTATTTGGTTGTGGGGACCATTAACAGGAGGCATGGTGGAGTAATGGATAGCGGCTTGGATTGAAGAATCGGAGAGCTGAGTTCAAATTCCAGTCGAATCCATTACATTCACTTACGTGCTAACACCCTTGGGAAAGGTGTGAATCCTCTCTCTTCTCCCTTTAGCTATGGGTAAATAGCAGAACAGACTGGGTTCTATAGCCTTGGATGGCAACTGGTCTAGGAGAAGGAAAACTCTGAATTCAAACCTGCTCTTAGAGGAGGGTGAATGGAGTCTCTCTGAGCCTTGGTTGGCAATCCATTTAGTGATGGTGTCACGATAAAAACACCCTTGATAGCCCTAGCGAAGCATCAAGAATTCAGCTATTTGACAAGATTAACTACATCAATCAAAGTATTGGTGAGTTCAATCTCGGCTGAGTCCGCAAGATGATGATGATGAACAGTTTGATTGTAATATTTCTTCATTTACTTCCATCTGCTACCCTTTTTTGTTCACCAGTTCCCATACAATCATGGTCAAGCCTGGTTGCTATATAGGTGGGTGACTGTTTGGGAATATCAGATGCTGTAAGTTTAGATATGCAGGTAGTATAATATATAATGGCTCAAAATTGTTAATCGGAGAGTAGTGTTCTAATTCCAGTTGGGTTCATTATATTTGCTTATGTGCAAATACTGTTGGGAAAGGTATGAATCCCCATATTCTCCCCCTAACTATGGGTTAATTAGTAGAATTTGTATCACTAAATCATTATTATCCACATAACCTGCAATGGGTTGATATGCCGTAGAAGAAGCACAGGGAGAATTGAATTCATGCCTTTTGTAACAACATAAGCAGCCTTAGCCCATAATTGAACTCCTTCACAAATTCCAGTTTTCCAAGGCTGACAGACACATCATGTTGAAACACTGGTCCCTGTATGATCACAAGTTAAGCAACATTGAGTCTGATCAGTACCTAGATGGGTGACTGCTTGGGAATACCAGGTGCTGTATTCTTGGATGTGCAGGTGGTGTTGTGGCCATTTTATATTAATGAAAATTGGGCAGAAACTTTAGCAATGATCTTATATATGTAGCTATTGTAAGTTGTCAGTCATGGTGTGTAGCATGGTCTTGACTGGTCAGTAGAAATTTGCAAATTACTAACTTAATAGAAGTTAGTCCCAAACTGTAATTTTTATCCTATTTCAACTATATTTTCGAATGTTCCTTATTTTTCCCCATTACTCACTGTTGTATTTGTCAGTAAATTTATGTATGAGCAAACATTTCTTTATTTCTCCTTTCTGGGTATGACGATAAACTACATCTGCATCCTGGGTAAGACAATAAACTATATCCAGCAAGCAAGGCCTCTGATCAGGTGGTTTTGAGGAGCATGGAACCACCTCTTAATTGCTGATGATCTCAGGTCCACCCTGACCTGGGGTGGTAGCACCTGTTAGGGGGCCTAACTATGGGCAAATAGTTAACCCCTAAACTGAGATAAAAACACTATGAAAGTGTAAAAATAGGTTTTAATACCAGAAATAATTTGTAAAAAAAAAAAATTATTGCCAGCAATAAATTTTTGACGAAAAAAACAAACACTTACCAGCAATACATTTTTGAAAAAATATTACCAACAATGTTTTTAAAAAAATAAATATTACCAGCTATATATTTTTGAAGGAAAAATATTACCAGAAATAGATTTTTGACAAAACAAAATATTACCAGCAATAAAAATTTTGTCAGCATTAAATGACCCATTGAGGTTGTTAACCAAACCAAATTTCTTTATTTTCCTGATACATAGCATAGCCTCAATATTGAAAAAATAAATAAAAAGTTCAATGACTTCTGCTTCAGAATTTTGAAGACATATTTAAAAAAAAAATGGAAATAAAGTTAAAAAAAAATATAAATAAAATATGAAGTAAACAAATACATAAAAAAAAAAAAAAAAACACTTTCCCAAGAATATGGTTAGTAATTATGAATATTATAATATTTTTTTAAAAATCATTTCACCCCTAGCAAAGTGGAAATGCCACTAGTATGCACAGGGTTACAGGGAGTGAAAGAGAGGACAGAGAATAGGCAGGATTGATAAAAGGACAAAAGATGAACAGGATTCAAAGAAGGCAGAAGATGGCGATTGATGTTGCATTTAAATTTTTGAAGATTGTATTTATCAGGGAAGCAAGTAAACAGAAGGAAGTTCTACAGTTGGAAAGTGTGAGGAAAGAAACTGTTGGATTAGAAGTTGTGGTTACATTTAACTATTTCAACAGTAAAGGGGTGGGACCTAGATGCCAATCTCGTAGCATACTTAAATTCATGTAGTCTGGGCACCAGGGGAAAAAAGGCTCATCAAAGCAGTTGCCATGAAAATATTTGTAGAAAAGATAAAGGGAAGTCACATTACATTTGTGAGAAAGTAACTGAAGTCGATATTTTAAGTCTCTAAAATCTACTAAACTATTAATAGTTAGAAACATTTATTATATTTAATTAAGATTTTTACATTTCAATTCTTTTTTTTTTATAACTGTGAAATTGTCCAATATTCATCATTGAACAATTTCACATAATGTTGTGTTGTTACAGTTTTTAAGATAGATATCACAATGTTTCAGGTGTTTTGCACTTAGGCCGTTTTCAGGTAACTTTAAATCCTGGTGCAGGGAAGGGGGTGCTCATCAACCCCTGTGAAAGTAAAAATACTAAGCAGAGAAGAATACTGGAGAATCAAACCTCTGAAAGAATCATTCCCTGGGCTAGGTACATCCTGGGTATGATGATAACAATGTTGGTCCGAAAGTCTTGTCGCCCATACCAAAAAGTAATGAGAACAGTAGAAGAATAAATAATACAAAGCACAATGTACTTGATTCAGTTTATTCACTTTCATTGACACTGTCATTTTTGTGTCAGCCATCTGAAATAGGAATATTATGTAGGAGTGACCACCCTGTACAGTTCCCTGATTACTCTTTCCTCTGCCCACTTATTATTAATGTTCTTATTCCTAATTCTTCCACACCCTGTCTTAGTGGCTTTACTGCCTTGTATATGATGAAACCAATTTAAAAAATGACTCCAGAGAGAATGTTTCCCAATCACCATGCAACACATAGTACTTGGTTACATGACACCAGTAATATAATCAGTTCCAATACCAATTATAATATGCCAGATCTGCTGCTATGAAATATAGGTCTATAATTTGGCAAGGAATATTTACGAAAGATTCATTCTAAAGGGTGGTCCGAAAGTCTTGTCATCCCTACCAAAAAGCAATGAGAACAATATTACAAGTCATACAGTAATATAAAGCATATGGACTGGATTCTCTTTATTCGATTTCATTGACACTATCACATATCAAGGAAGTCTGTATGAACACTATCATTTACATGGCACAAAATGATGCCATGTCATGTGATATTTTATGAACCTGTGCTTTGTTGATTGTTGCAAAGGCTCTTCGAACGATGTCCTTCAACTCATGAGTATTCTGGTACTGTCTGTGTGAAAATTTCTCCTTGATAATACCCCACAGAACATTAAAATAGAAAATTATATTATGTAGGGGGTGACAAGTCTTTCAGACTACCCTGCACATTTGGCAGCAAGGCCTCTGATTAGGAGATTTTGAGGAACGAGGAAGCACCTCTTAATTGCTGCTGTTCCCAAGTCCACCCTGTTAAGATCCCAGCTATGGGCAAATAGTGAACCTCCAAGCTGGAGTCAATACACTATGAAAGTATAAAATTACATACAGATTTTAATATTGTCCTCTCAAAGAAATTAAATTTCAGCATTAAATATCCATAAGGATTTGATATGCTGTTAACCAAGCCCTGAGCCAGGTGCTATGGATAGACTCGGTGAAAACAAAACTAGCAGAACAGTTAATCAAGATGAGGTGTCATCCCTAAACATGGACAATGGAATCATCTATCCATGTAGATTGAATAAAGAGTTCAAAGCAAAATTTCCTGATGGTTTCTAGATCAATGGACACATGAAGAAAGCTGAACGCTACAATAACTGAAATGTTAGGATAGTAACAACAAAGATAAAGATATTAGTTCTAGTGTTTATAATGGCTTGTAGATTTTTGTTACTTTGTCCATGTGGATTGTACAAATTTAAGAATCTTCAAAAATGAGTGTGATATTGAGTTTTATTTGAAGCACAGTGCTGAATATAAGTTATAGTGTTTCTTTTATTTAGTCTTTAATTTTTGGTTGGAATTGTATATGCAAAGAACCTGAAATTGGCAATTTATATGCTTATTTAAATAACTTTTTTTTCTTTATCATTTTAATTCCTTTTTCATTTTATTTATTTTCATGATGACTAATATTTTTTCTTTTTTGTTTTATAATTTTAGATTGTTGGCACCAAGAACCTCATGGAAGACCAACTTTTGCCCAGATTCTGGAACGCCTGGAAGAAATTGCCTCTTCATCCTTCATGACCACGCCTCAAGATTCATTCCATACAATGCAGGAGGACTGGCGACTGGAAATTGAGCAAATGTTTGATGAACTTCGAAGCAAAGAAAAGGTTTGCCATCTGACATAAGTCTATTAATCTGAAAAAAAAAACGTTACAAACATTATCATACAATTGAGAAATTTATTAGAACACCATGAAAAGAATCCATAACACTAGGGATCTGTCCAATATTCTATAGCTGTTATTTATCTATGCAAACAATGGTGGTGTTAATTATGTTATAGGCAAGAGGATTTTCCCAAAATGATTTGATGTTATGTACGGGGTGCAATGGATAAATAAACTGTCATCTAAATTATGCAAAAATAAAAATAACTGACATCTCATTTTAACAGATTTATTTACCATAATTACACAAAAATATCTTGAAATACAGTAAATTTATTCAATAAATTAGGCATTGGCTTCAACCACACCCTCTAGATGACTTCGGAATCTCCTGCAACACTTCTGGGCAGTCTCCTTGTTTAAGTTAGTGAATGCTGCCATAATCCTTGTCTTCAGTTCATCTTTGATATCACAAGGAGATTTGTTGGTCTCTCACTCAAATGCATCCCACACATTATAATCAAGGGGTTTGCAGTTGGGGGAGTTAGGTGGTCAGTTGTAAGGGGGGATGTGGTTGCTGAAATTGTCTGATAGCCATAACTGGTTACTCCTGCTTGTGTAGCATGGTGCAGAGTCCTGTTGCCAGATATAGGGTCTTCCAGCACCCTCCCTCTTGACCCATGGTAACACTACCTCCTCAAGGCATTTGATGTCGGCCTCTGTGTTGAGTCTGAGGCTCTGTGGGAAGATGAATAGAGGCATAATGTCACCATCACTAGTGATCACTCTAAACACCATGATATTGATTGGATATATCATCCAACTCTTTCCGATTACTCTGCACTGTCCTCAGATTGACAGCCAAACACTCTAAAGTGTCACTATTGGAGCTTTCACTGCGAATGCCAAGCAGTACAGCATTCCGTTTCCAAATTTCTGGTGGAGTGAATTGCATCATGCTCTTTTTCTTACTGATGTAATGTAATAACCTGTCACCCCCATGAATGACTACACTATGGGTAGTAACTACCTATAATTATCTGTAAATTAATGGACTACAGAGACTTGCTGGGATCTGTTGAGTATGACTTAGACTTAAGTGAGAATTACTGACTTTCCAATAGTAGCACTCACTATTGGATTGACTTGTGGCAACCTTGTGCATAACTGTTACCTTTTATTCTTATTATTTTGTACAATAAACCTTTACTTATTTTATCCACCCTGTTTTTCAAGTATATATTCCTATTAGCACGGAATATAACACTTACATACGGTGCCCAACTGACCATACAATACTGTGCAATTGACAAAATCAAAAACAAACAAAGCACATGCACAAAATTTAAAATAAAAAATGGCGACAATTTAGCCATCGCACTCTGAAAATATATATATATATATATATATATATATATATATATATATATATATATATATATATATATATATATATATAGAGAGAGAGAGACGGCAGAATACCTATGGTCCTCATATATAGCCAGAGAGTGGACAAAGAGTGTTGGATGGCTGTGGCTTAAGTATATAAAGACAAGCTAAAGGTAACCTCTCAGCTGTCAATGATCTACCTCATATTAACTTTCAGCAAGTTTCTCTGGATAGAAATAACTGGAGATATTTGTGCCAGAGTAGTATCAGGAATTTTGAAATCAGTCGTACTGACCAGCTAAGAGATGAAAGATGACAAAAAGTGTTAAGAAATATTCTTGTATCTGAGTTGTTAGTGTCCTGACCATAAGATCTGGGTTCAAATCTCACTAATGTTCATTTGTCAAGGAGGTGACTTGAACTGAGTCAAGAATATATATATATATATATATATATATATATATATATATATATATATATATATATAAAAGGCTAAAACGCTATTTATATTTCTGACAAAAATATTCCCTCACGAACTAAATATTAAAGGGAGATAACTTTGTCAGCAAGTTGTTTAGAAGACTATTCAATAATTGCTGTTGAGCCTGATGTTCAAGGGAGGCAATCCTGTCATCGATTTGCAATTGAAGTTATACCACTTCAGATGCAGCATAGACAATCAGTCACTTAATTGCTGTATGCGATACACGCTTGGACAATCATCTTTGCTTTGATTGATGACTGACTAGGCAGAAGATTTTCCTGCTGTAGGTTTCTGTTTCTTTCTACTCTTAAAAATAAAAACATAAATTTTGATAATACTCCACTCTACAATGGAACATTGAATTTCTTAAGGTGTTTGTCCACATATATAAAACACAATGGGTATACACACACACACACAAAGAATATACAGATACTGCATTATACTGCCATGAGCCAGATTAGATAGGACTAAGGTCATTAATCAGTACCGGAGGTATTCCCAAATGGGAAGTGCTGAGGTGGCTTGAAACATTTTTGCATGAGTTCCCACATTAAACCTTGGCCTTGTGTCACTTTTTTTGCAATGTGGGTGTGTAGATAAATACCTACTAAATTATGAATCAAAATATTGGTCTGTGGAGCAACATTCTGATTCTGGGTAGAATCTCACAGATGCTCTCATTCTCGTCAGTCTTGACGATATATGTATAAATATTCCTATTATTTTTGACTGGAACCGTTTTGAGGGATGCACGGTGGAATAATGGATAATGGCACAGATTGAAGAATTGGAGAGCCAGGTTTGAATTCCATTCGAATCCTTTACATTCACCCACGTTCTAATACCCTTGGTAAAGGTTTGAATCTTTTTCTTCTCCCAACTGTGGGTAAATAGCAGGACAGACCAGGTTGTATAGCCTTGGATGGCAACTGGTCTACCGCAGAAAGAAATGGCAACCTACTGTGGGGAAAAAAATCTGCCTCGTCAGTCATGTATTTAAAAATGCATGATCGCCTAAGCGTGTATCACGCATGGCACATAACTGACCATTTTGACAATACTGTGCTATTATTTAAAAGCAGACTATTGTTCTCACCTTACTTTTTGTTATAACGTTTCAGCCATTATATTTTCTGGACTTCATCAGGTGCTTATTGATTCTAGTAACTTTCAGGGAATTTTGAACTGAATGATTTAATTTACAGGAATAGATTGTTTTCATTCCACTGCCTGGAATATCTTGTCAAGTTCTTATTTTAGTACTGCTCACCTTGTTTTCACTGCTCGGCCTGGGGATTTAACTCATAATTACTATGTGACCAAATTCACAAATCAACATTTTAATCCACTAAGTGCATTGACACTTTCTTGGGTTAGAACCATCATGTTTAAGAGGATCCAGTCACTGAGATTTGTTTGCTTGATGCTTCAGAATGTGTGTGTGTGTGTGTGTGATCATGACTCTTCACAACTTTTTATCCATTGTAGCTCTTAGTATTCTGCAAAAAAGTTTTAATATTTACTTGCAAAGGCAGAATTATTCTTACAATGAAAAATGTTATGTCTTTAAATAACCCACAAAAGGGTTAACAAGCCATAAAAAAAAACAAAAAGAAAAACCCAAATCAGTCAACATTGTTGCTCTGTGTAAGGTTTGTCTTTTCACAATCCCTCTCACTTCCTGTTTTGCTTTTCATTTATACAAGCTTCTTAGGTACGTTACTTGCTGTTTTCCTCTGTCCATCTTGTCTTCAATATGTCCTGTTAGTGTAAAATCTTCTTTTCTCATTATGTGTTGTAGAAATATAAACTCTTTCTGATTCTATTCACATCCAAAGAATAAATCTAAAAAAACACACCATTTACCATTTTAGGAGGCATGTCCTTCTCAGATTATGTAGCAGCAGTAGAACTTTGTTTCATTATTCTTGCTGTCAGTACTTATTATTCATGTAAAATCTAAAGTATTCACTCCTGCTTCCAGACTTTGTTACCTGCAGTCTATTCATTGACCTTTAAGTTTTACCTGACATGTCATAAACCTAAATTGAAACAAGTGAAAAGAAGAAAAAAAAAAATAACCGATTGTCCTTTTTGGGTGACATACATTTTGTGAGTGTCTTGACACAATCATTGTTGGGTAATCTTCTCATTTTTCATCGTCTTTCTGCTGTTGTATTAGGAGTCCTCCACTTAGTTCTGCCATGGGCACCTTTTGATATTAATACACAAAACAATAGCCTTACACCGCAATTAAACACGTGTGGGTCTTGTTGAATTGCATCTTGCATCATGTGCAACTGATGCCTCTGTTGAATCACAGTGCATAACTGGGAGACTGGGGGTGGGATCATCACAGCCATGTGCTGTAAGGAGTAAAGGATGCTACACCACCACCACCAACAACAAAAAGAAAAAATAAAGACAAACCTGTTATTTTTTAAAAATCTCACGCTGTCATCAACAATAGTTTTGTTTTGATCATGTTATTATCTTTCCTTGTTTAATATTGTTCCTTCAGGTTGATGTATTTTTCAAACTTTGAATTTGGAGCCATCTCTAAACTTTTTTTTTTTTTTTAAATACTGTTAAAAATTTTTCCCATCCAAAAAAAAAGATACTATGATCTGCAATTGGAATAAAAGCAGTGATAGGACATACCCTGAATCCTTCACAAAAAGTCAAGATGTAGAATTAGTAAATACTAAACACTTCAAATACAGGGAATTCTCAACTTACAACAGAGTCCGGTTCCTAAGATTTGTTGTAACAATTTTCCATGCAAGTCAGAATGTACCCTTGATTTTATTTTTTTTTTATCATTTCACCCCAAGCAAGGCAATAAGGCCACTAGCATCAGAGGAGGTTACCCTATGCTTGGAACCCATGATGAAGGACAATACGTTTCCACAAACACAACACAAATGAAGGAGATTGAATGCACAACAAACAGGAACTGATCCTTGCTACCTTATCTATGCGATAAACAGTTTAAGTTGAAATAAGATTAATGGATATTGTACTGTAACTGTAAATTTTCATGTTGGAACATTGGTAACCTGGTGACTTACCGTACTATGGTGTATGAATCACTTCCAACAAATCTAGTATAGGAGATGAGGAA